TGGATTGCAATTGGATGCGCATTTAAAGAGAAAATATCTGCATTTGTTCGATTTAATTACGTCGCTTGATATTTGCGCAGGGAAAATAAAAAGCTTTGATGTAATAGCGTTTCTGGTGTACTCGCTGTAACAGCGAGTGCAGCGGAGAGCAATTAGCGGTTAATTAAAAGTATACCGAAAGGCAACGAGACGAGTGAAAGTAGCGGAGCGGTTTTTTCCCGTTTTTTCTTTTTACTAGAATGAAATTTTCGGAAACCTTTTCGAAATCAACTTGCGGCAGTTATACGACCGATAATGGCGGGGGCGTGCCGGCACGGCCGCGGTAATTGAATTTCTCACAAATTATTATCGAAAGTTATCGGAGCCAATGGCACCAGAGTCGTCGAGTTGCGCGTATTACCGTCGATAGGAATGTACGTGCCGATATCAGCGATTATAGGTACTTTCGTACCGAAATGAGCGCGGAATAATTAGCCTCATTATCGATTCCATTTATCTACGCGCATTCCGCCGTTCACATATAGTGACCTGCGTCATTTCAATGGAATTGTCATTGATTCCTTTGATTCACGTGGAATCCACGTGTGATCTTCATTCTGCGCAAATCTCTACGACAATCATAATCAATAATAATTCAGTAAAAGCGAGCAATTTTACAAGACTCGTCAAATTTGTTGTGGCTGTCGCAGATATCTTTTTATGAGTCAAACTGGTACATTTATAGAGTTGATATTACAATGATAAATTGTCTTTAAATGTTTTTCGAATATTGTTTCTTTGATATTTCTTTTTTTGTTTTTTAATGAGACGCACAGTTCTACATTGCCTTATCTCTGTGATTCTATTAATTGGATTTATTCTCGTCGAGCGAGAATCAATAACCCTTTGTCTGACGTGGCATTGACTTTATCGCGATCTCCACCATTGATCGGATGCTCGACCGTGTACAAGATATAAGCTCTACCTCGAAATAATTGTCACTAGGACCTCTCGAGGGCCACGGCAAGTCGAAAGCAGCGCTTGAAAATCTTCTCGTTCAGCTAAACGTATATTTGAGAGAGACGAAAGAATCGGCGGCCTTCCTAAACACAATAGCCACGAGCCATTGGTTGCAGCGTGGGCAGCACGGCGGAAAGAGGAGCGGTTTAAGCACAGAAAACGGTGACACGAGCAGACCGATCGATTGACGATTAAATGATTAAACGTAATTCTGCGCTCGAAGCATCATTCACATCGAGATTTAGATAATAATTAGAAACGATGGATTGCGTTCTAGGGAACATGCACAATGAAGCACCATTTGCGTTTCAGTGAGATTTGCGACAAAGTTATATCGTATACAATTTATAGAAATAATTAATAGTGTAAAGGATATTTTAATTTATTAGTTTTTCCATCTGAGGTTACTAAAAACTCGGGGTTTTTAATTTTTAATTTATCTTTTTTATACCCCGCATCGGGGTATATCTCTGCGCGCGACCGAGTGATTTTCCAGTTACGCAAATTTTCCAGTATCCGCTGGTCCATTCAATGGGTCTCGCCGACGCGTCGACTACCGGCGGAAATTTACGGGATGACATAATTTCCGTGCGACCCGGTGTGTCCGCCCAAAAAGGCGAATTCCATCTTCGTGTCAGTCGCCCGCGTCCGTTCGTTGAATACCCGGGAAAATTCATAAATCATCGACGGAAACGCGAAAGTCATAGATCGATACGACGAGTTATCTCGAATCCTTTACCTCCGGTACTAAATTTTCCACGTCATACTTGCTACCGCTCGTCGTGAATTTTCGCGAATTAGAAATACTTTACGTTATATAAACTTGAAATAAGAAACAAATTTGCAAAATTTTTACTTTTAATTCCCAATTAGTCATAAGTCGATTAGCGAAATATTATTGCGTTAAATTCAATTTGACTATAATATTTTCGCAACGGATTTTTTTCGGAACCGATCGTTGTGGGTTTTCAAAAATATTTGCGAAAAAAGATCTCGAAACTGTCAAATAGGTTTATAACATTTGTCCTTGTCTCTTTTATTTTCTCTCTTTGTTACTTTAATTAAATCTGCATAACCTCATATTTTTTGGTACCTTTAAACAATGTAATACCTTTTCGTAATTTACAAAATGGAAGAGTAGCAATCGAATCGCACTTCAAAGCGGAAGTACTATTAAATAAGGACGGTATTCACGGAACGACGAGCGGAAAGGGAGAAAAAATAAATCTGCCTCTCTTTGTCAATACGGTCCGCGAGGAAATAAAAGAAATAATAAAATTATTCCATCAGTGATTTAACTTTTCTCCGGAACTTAATCCGCGTAGATCAGACGGAGCATTCTTAATTTGAACTTCGTTCCGCGAGGGAACAGCTTTCGTCCTTCCACGCGACTATCCAGTATAAAGTTCAGAAGGGATCCCCTCATGAGAAAGATCCTCCATGATACCGGTATTGTGTCTCGACGACAAACAAGAAGCGAAAACGGGAAATGTCATGTGCGCCCGCCAGCTGTTGCGTGTTTTAAAGCTCAAAAGCGTGACACGCGCGTGTTTCACGGCGTGACACGTGCTCCGTTGCACAGCATCTCGATAAATAGGACACCGCTATGCGACAGAATGGATTGAATCATGATACTCGGAAATGACGGTCCCTGTCCGCCACGTCAGTCTATTAATTTCCTTGTTTACGAGAAAGGAAAAACAGAATGCTTAATCCTGGGAGTGTCTGTGATGAAAAGACGTCTCTCTTGAAAGCTTTTTCAAATTGGCAAGATTTCGCATTTCTGTTATTATTCTCAAATTCTCTCAAGTATACCACGTTTAGGAGAAAATAAATATTTTACGGAGATGATTTGTCGATGTATTTGTCGCAGAAAACCATACCGAGGGTGTATAATGCCATTTGTATTTCCTTGGATTATTTTTTTTGTACACAAATAGAGATGCGTAGATGATTTATTATGATTTGAATTGCGCGATATATATTGTTGATAAGACGCATTAAGACGTCAGTCTACTGGACTTAACGTATTCATCGAATGATTAATACATCGCAATGACGCGTAGAATATCGCGGACAATTATACTTGATCGAGTGCAGAAATAAAATCTTCTTATCGTCTTTAACGCTGATTTTTATGTTTAGACATTTATGCGTGGACCGAGCACGTCCGTGCATAAATGTACTTAACGAAAAGAGAAAGTCATTCATGTAAATGTAAGCGCAGGTCTGTAACGGCGCTCGTTTAAAGCTAAATCGGAAATAGCATTTTATTTCTCTGTTGGAATTTGTTTAATGTACCGAGAAAGTGGATTAATTTTCTTGGTAATAATAATGTGACTTTGAATGCATTTCTTCGGCGCGGCGCGAGTTCTCGCAAATTCGACACAGTTGCAGTGTTCCGATAGTTCTCTCGTCTTCTCTTTTGCGCGATGGGAATATTTCAAACCGATAGAAATCCCGGTGGGATTTATGCTAATTTCAAGATCGGCTACGGCATAGATTGCGCGGTAAATGACGTGTGAAGGGAGTAGATAGAAAACGTTGTAATGTACGATATTGGGTTTTGCGATAGAACGACTACATGGCTTTAAAGCGCGCGAAAATAGGACGAATAGCAGCAATCGATGATACCTGATGAAAGGGTCCCGAGCGGCCTCTCTCTCCTTTTCCCCACTACTTTTTCCTACTTCTCGAAGAAATTCGCTGGATATCAAACAGGAGACGAGACGAAGGAAGAGTTCGGAATGGTTTACGCCGCTACCGAGTAGTTTGCGACAGATATAGACCACGAGATAAACGACGTATTACCGGTATAAAGCAACTTCCTCGGCGCACGGCGACAGCTATGCCTGTCAGCGTACCATTGCACCTCGTATCTTTCCCATAGCCTCTTTTCTCGAATCCAATTCAACGAATCTGCGGAGAACGTGCGCGTCAGTACGTAGCATGGGATATGCGCCAGCACGTGTGAATACGATGAGATCGCGTCAACATCGAAATGTGAAAATTCGAAGGAAATCTTAGAAAAGAAGCGTAAGAAGGGAGAGAAAGAATGAAACCCGCGATGTGAATTTTCGCGAAACTTCAATATTGTAGCGCAATGTGTAACGTAAATGATAAATTGGGTAATAGCGAACGAGGTTTCATTGAAATAACGTAGGAAAAATATAGGTCCATTTTATCATGTTGCGTAATCTAAATTATGACAGTGAGACATCATTAACTTTACTTTGCCAGAAAAATTGTCTGAAATATATTGTCGAAGCGAAAATCCAACCGGCCACAATCGGATCAGCACGATATCGGATATGTATAAACGCAAATCCTCCCCTCCCCTTTTCCCCTTTGATTACTCAACCTTGTGTGATGGAAATCATTTATAACGATCCAACAACCACATATCAATTAGGTATATTGCATTTATCTCGCACTTCGTGTAATCATTGCATCATTACGGCTGCAGCTGTTGAATTTGATATCAATTGATCATGAGCTCGTGATTCTGACGGTCCAATTTGATAATTTGATACGCATCACGTTGCAAAAAGTTGTGCGTTTCATGCGCGTGACGACACGCGATTGATTTCGATTTCGTCGTTTAATGGCTCGTTCAGTCTTTACAATGCGATGGTCCAGTCCGGATTTTATTAAACGGCTTTCCCATGGTCGTGTTTTTCTTTCCCCTTTTGGCTTTCAGTTCTTACGCTTCGGCGAGTCTACCTCCGACAAACACGCGTCCACGTCGGCGATAAAAACAGCGTTTTCCGCGGCCGGTTTTTCTTACGGCTAATAGCAACACTTTTTTTGAACGTTGCAATATTTCACCAAAATAAACCCGCTCATTTTGCAGTTTTCAGCACGTAAATTAGTTTGGATTATCACTCGGTTGGGCTAATCTATGAAGAAAAAGAATATTTGACTTAACTTACTATTGTAAGTAGAACAAAATTATATAATTTGACAAT